CTCGTCGTGATTTCCGCGAGATTTCGACCGACCCCTCCGTGTCTTTCTCCTTCGCGTTAATTAATCGAAGGAAGTCCTGTGCAACGACCGTTCGCGGCTCTTCCCGTCCACGACCGACTTGGTTCAAGGATAACGAAAGAATTAGGAAAATATGACGGCTCGAAGATTGTCAATCGCGAGGAATTCGAAGGAATTCGAATCGCAGGAAAAATTGGAATTTGGGAAAGTGGAAAATGTAAAGATTGCCGAGGAGATTGTGAAATTTTCGAAATCGAAAATGCAACAATTGAAAGATTACCAAAAATTTAGAAAGCAAAATAAAAAGATTCAAAGATCGTAAATGATTTTAGAAAATTGGAAAATAGGATTTGAAGGATTGGCGAATTGAGAATGCAATTCAATTCGAAGATTCATCTCCAAATGTAGAAATGTAAACGAGTTCTTTCGACGAGAATCGAATCGATCAATTTTCCGAGCTTCGCACTAATATTCTTATTATCCAGGGAACGATATATCATAACTGCAATTTCGATAGATAATTAGCCTAATATAATTTCCCTAGAGTTCCAGATAAACGATCGAACTTTATTTATTATTATAAATATATAATAATAAATAATATTACTTATTATATATAACTTTATTTAAATTCCACATTTCTTTTTATGTATAAATCCCACTGTGTTTCGAACCTCAAACATCGATCTATTTATTCCCAACAAATTCCAATAAAAAATTTTTCGACAAATAATATTAGTAAATTCCATAGAGGTTATACGCTCGACCAAATACGCTCCGTTTAATTATCCTTGGTCGAAAGTTGGCGCAACGCCGGAGGAGCTTTATGGGCGGTCCCCTCCACTGTCCTCACGCTCATTAAACGCCGCCTTAATTTCGTTGGCCATGGGACAGGACGGTAGGCGAGGCGAAATTATCCTCGGACAAGCGTATATATCTGGAGGCGATGCGACTCTAATTAAATCCGTCGCGCATCGTGTGTGGAGGACGAAGGAGACACAACGAGGTCGAATTGAAGGAGAAGAAAAAAGGTGTCCATTGTGTCTCGACGAACGTGTGTCCCGACGAGGAAGAAGCGATTCGCTGTTTTCGATTCTATGGAGAAACGGAGGAGCGAGAAAATTGCTTTGGCTATGGTTAATAGCAATGTGTCAGAGGAATCGCGCGGTTGGTTATCTTTGAATGGTATCCATTCTTTCTTTCCTTTTTCTTAAGCATAAAATAAAATTTTATTAATTCTGAGATATCGTAAAAATGATGGATAAATTTTACTCGTAATTGAATGTAAGATCTCCATCAATGAGTTTCATTTTCAGTTAAGTGAATATCTATTGTGCGATAATATACCGTTGAACTCGCTTCTCCATTTATATATTTTATTTTATTTCTATGCAATACAAGCTTTATTTACCCTTTTTTTACCGTTTATTTTTCTTAATTTAATAATTCTTATATTTTATAATTTGAGCAAAGAGATCGATATTGTTCCAAAAATGTTTAATCGATATTTTTGATCGATCAACGGCAACTGATATTGTCATTTCCTCTAGCCATGATATACGATATGTTAATATTCGTAATATAAAGATTTTTTCCGTGACCAATTGTACTTCTGATAAAGAAGAGACCTGCACTTTAACGTACCATTAGAGTACGACAAATGTTGAATTTTTATACAGGTGGTATATCGAAACAAGTATGTGACGAATATACAGCTTTCAATAAGAATTGACGATGGTGGGGATATCGACCTTGAACGACAGAATATCTCGACACGATATAGAGGGGGGTACAAATCGTTGAACGAAAATAATAATCAAACGATCATGTAGAACGAAAGAGGAAGGCAGCGGTGGTTTGAGTGGCGAGCTCGGAGGCTAATTAATAGTTCCGGGAACGGGCAAGAGGTGAGGAGAAAGGATCGCAGGATTGCGAGTGGGGAGAGGGAGAGAAAGAGGGGCGAAGGACGGAATGCGGGACATGTGGCGCGCATCCGCGTGCCTCCGGCCTGCGAACAGGGTGCGATTTTCTGGTAAATGCGGGAATAGGTGTAATCGTTGCATCTATCGTATTCTAGTGAAATTTTTGATATTTCTTTTGGAGATGAATGATAATTAACTTTAATTTTAAGTAAAACGATAATACTTTGATAAAAGCGAAGAAAATATTTTTGCTGGTCTAAGGGTGAAAGTCCATTTGAGAATAAAAGTGTTATTCATTACATACATAATTCTCTGTGATGAATGATATAATATAATGATATAATTCTAGATAATATTTTAATTTTAGGAAAAAAAATTTTTGTTAATTAAAGGATAAGAATCCATGTAAAAGTAAAAGTTTTGAAAATATTATTCATCACGACGATATTTATATTTCACTCTGTAACGAATATATATAATGGTAATTCTAAAAAGTAAAACGATAAGATTGAGATTACTTGAGGATAAAAGATACTTACAGAATTAATTTTATAAAATTGGCATTGATCTAAAAAATAATCGAAAAGAGAAGAATCTATGGATATAAATTACAATTAAATTGGATGTTTCTCTTTCAATCTTGGAATAATCGGTTTGGAAGAGACGCGGCAAGAATTCATCGTTTAGATGCTTGGCGATCCCATGCCCGGACATGGGTGTATGGTTTGTTTGCTCGGCTTTTTGCCGCGGTATAATAGGAAAACCGCAGAGTGATGTTCCCTCGGGAATCACTCACGCCGGCTGCAGTCCTTCTAATGCAAGATCAAGGTCAATCTCAAGTACGTCTTGCAATTTATTAATTGATTAGTCCAAATGATGTTGATGTTGATAATGATAATTGATTTATCCAAATGATCCTTTTTAAATTAAATAAAACAATACTTTCCAAATCAATTTTCACAAGAATTATAAATCTGTAATTAGATATTATTATATCTTCATTTTCTTTTTTTTCTCACAAACATATTATAGCATATTATGAGTAATGCACCATTATTTTGACTGTAATAAAATAAAAAGAATTATTGAGCCAATGAAAAATTTCCAAGTTCTTTCTTCTCTTAGAATTTAAAACATTAATCGATCCCTCGAACTCATTCCAATATCTCCAAGATGTCACTATAAGGATAATCTCTAACTTTTAATTGTTGGTGTGATTATTCATCAATAGAACAAGATTTTAATGAAACATTTCCCGTTTCAATTCGAAATCTGCCTTTCACTCACTCGCATCTTTCTTTTCCATTTGCGGAATGATTAATACGGGCAGTAAAGAGTCGAGAATTCACCGCTTTCCCGCTGCGACCACCTACGGTTCCCCTTTTTTCCTGCGCCATCCAAGGCCACTTCATCTTCCTTCTCGACGTGCCACTACTTTGTGTTTCCTGTCTTCCGTAGCGCGCTTCCGTTCATTTTCAGTGTTTTTTACTTGGAATTGCATTTTTCGAATATTATCGGTGGAATTATTTTAAGGATATTGACAAAGATTTAAAATTTTAGAAGATTTATGCGGTATGAGTTGCATACCAGTATTTGTTTTTTCCGAGCATGGCAATTGCGAGTGGAAATTATTTTACAAATAGTTACATTCAAGCAAGTTCTCTGAAAAATTTTTGAAATTTTTATTTTCAAATATATTCGCATCTTTGATCGATAATATTATTCGACAATAATAAATGAATTCAATCTTTTTAAAAACTTGTATATAAATATTGATATTATGATACTCACTATACGCAGTTTTAAAAAGATTAAATTGGACTAAAAATATTAAAACATTACAAATCGTCAATATCAATCTTAAGTTAACCTATAATAAGTACGAAAATTTTTCTCTAAACTATTTCACATCATTATTACACTGATAATGATCATTTTATACACTTATATATTATTTATTAGATCTTCTTTAATTATTATCATGTATAGAAATAATATTTTTATACAAAAGAAACTAACATACCTAAAAAAGAAATTGATCACATTAGTAATTCAATAAATCTCTGGCACATGCGCATAAATATTCATCATTGTTATAGGTTAAGTTACGTTACAATTTACCACTATAAATCCGATTTTCAACTCATCTCGATTCATTCTTGCTTATATGCTTCCCTCGTTCGAAAGATTCCTCTTTATTTTATTCTTTGTTAATTCTTCTTTCACTTCGACACAAAAGAAAAAGAGAGGGAAGGAAAAAAAGAACACGCAGCTTGTCATGGCCTCTGTTGATTAATTAATACGCGACCGATTACCGATTCGACGTGCTATTAGCAGTAAATCCCGCATCAGTCCCTGCTATCGGGGTCCGGCTGATGTACGATCGGCCCAGTCGTTTAAACGATCGAAACAGGGTCCAGGGACAGAAATCCGAACACTACGTTACGACACAACTCTGATATATCTGTTAATTAGTTCTAAGATCAACCACCGATCTATACTGTGTTTCTTCACTTTCGAATACCATCGCTCTCGAAAAATCGAAATGTTGTCTTCGAAAACGATGCTAACGAGCCCTATAATGTAGAAAGATCGAAAGATATTTTCTTCAGAATTGAATTTTTTTTTTGTAATAAAATTTTATTTGGAAATATATATCTAATGAATAAACTTTTTTAAATAAAATTCGATACGACATTGAGAATCGAATTCTGGCGGGACTTTTTGATGAAATAAAAATGATTTTAGATTTTGTTGCATTATTTTGCAATTATTTTTTTTATACAAATTCAAAATGACTGCGCATACTAAGAGATACAAAATTTTTATAATATATATCTTTACTCTTATTGAATATTGTTAAAGCAAAAATAAAGCTTATAGAATTTTGATAAAAATTAAATGAAAACAAATACCGATTACTTCAAAATAAATAAAACTGGATATTCGATATCTCATTGATATTATATTATATATATACATATATATATAATAATGAATAAAAATAAAATAAAATAAAATAAAATCTCGAATATTCTAGTTTCTTTCTGCTGCACAAAATTGCATGATAATTAAGTATTCCAATCAGAAAAACGAATCGTAAAGCGAATACTCTAAGAAACTTGAAATTATTTCGCAACATTATGCAACATCAATATTAAGATTCCGCTTCGTTTTACACGATTGCTATTGTGCTCGGTATATAATTATCGACTATAAGCACAATCTTCCAGCCATTTCCTGATGCTGTTTTCACTATACATCTCATTTCTCATAGAAGTCAATATGAATTGCCAGTCAATACGAGTCGCGTCTGAATTGAATTTATCGTATAATTAAATCGACGGATTGGAGAGTAGATTTCGACCCAGAAGTTGTTGTTGTGGAGCGTGTAGAGGAAAATTGGCCCCAGCAGCCAACAATGGGACAGTATAGAATCGCGGAAAGAAATGTAGGAACGTAATTATTACTCATGGCTCGACTCAGGTCGTTAACCGAGAGCAATAAACTCGGTTGCAGCTAATGCACCGGTGTAATTCCCTGGCTGTTGCATTGGTTGGTAATTCAACTGGCAAAAACCAACGATTCCACCGATATGGATAATAATAAGGTCTTGGTAAGAAGCTTTTGCCGCAAGAAGAATACGTCAACGTGATCGCCATTATGATTTTAGTAATGAAAAGTTCGATTTTTCGAATGGAATACTATTTGAATATTATGCGTGTGTTATTCGAACTTTCAGTCATTTTGATTTAGAATGTACAAATAAACTTTCATTACTCGAAGATACGAATTTTTAAAATTATTACATCTGTACAGTAAGAAGCCTATTCTCTTTTTCTTCCAAATATCTTCGATTTTTCACTGGAACGTTTTTTCGATCTCTGTGGATATTATGAAACTTTTATTATTCAATTTAAATGCGAATATACGAATAATAGGAAAACTTTTATTACCTGGAGATACGATTATGAGTAGAAGTCGACGAGTCAAAATTTCGAAATACTCAGATATAGAGTAAGAACTCTGTCCGATTACTCGAGTAGCAAAAGATACCTCGATATCTCATCTCCAACAGCGCTATAACGAAGCATTAACTTTTACCTGTTCCTATAAAAAAAAAAACCCTCCATCGTCAAAATGCACGCAAGAAAACACCCAAGTATCCACGGATTGGTAAACCAATCTCAAATCTTCTCCCTGTATCCCCGGCTTCGGTTCCCAATTAGAAACCCTAGGAGGCAGCAGCCACGAGTCAGTTCATTCTCGGTGCAAATAAGCTCTTCCATCTTTCTCTTTCTCTCTATCCATACGTGGCGTGTCGTTCGGATGCTAGAAACACGTGCAACATCCGCCACGATTGCACACACGTCGCTGGTAGTCGTAATAATAAAGCATCCGCGAAGTTGGAGCGCGAGCTACACGGCTTGGTAATAAGTTCCTGGTTTACGGTTCATCGGCAGGTTATCCTGGGGCTGGATCGACCTACCGGCCGACTGAAATCACCGGTGGCCACGTATCGCCTCTCTGATTATTTCTCTCTCTTTTTCTCCTTCGAGTCGATCCGTTTCGTTTCGATCATCCTTTCACCGGAGGCGTGGTGGCCGCCATATCCACCGTGGTGCAACCGTAATTACACTGGCTGCGAAACAACGTAAACCAACGACCGATTAGATTGGCAGGATGTTAGGTGGAGATGAGATTGGTAATAGTGATGTCTTGATACGTCTTGTTTGGAAATATTAAAATCGGTTGAATTGTTGAATTAATCCCTGAGAGAATTTAATTTTATGTATATCGATTGAAAGTTCAGACTTGTTACGTGGAATTCGGGAACTGAAAAAAATTTTAGGTTAGAATTTTGTTCGAATCAACTTAAACCATTAAGAAAATCCAATTCCATATATACATCGATTGAAACTTTGAAATTTCAAACGTGTAGAACTGAAAGAAATTTTAGAATTATGTTCAAGTCGTTCAAATCGATTAAAATATTGAGGTTAACTCAGAAATAAAATTCATGTCAAAAGTTTAGAATTGTGTTACGAATATGAATCGAAGAATTGAAAAAAATTTTAGGTTAAAATTTTTCTCGAAATCTTAATCAATCGAAATCAACCGAAATCTTAATTTAACAAAAAGAATTCATCCATGTATCGATTGAAAATTTAGAATTGCAAATATATTACGTATTTCATTATATTACGTAATTCAAGAATACAAAAAATTAGAAGTTTATTACCTGATAAAACGACTAAGAAAATGATTCCAACTTTTAGAATATACCCAATATATTTTGTTGTAGAATATCTGCGATGATATTGGATCAATTGGCCTCTCTAGAACTACCGATAATCGGAGAACGAAGAGAGAACGATAGTCTGATAATCACCGCGACTTTTGTTACCGCGTGGGGATTTAAATTAGCCCCGGGTATACGTGTTTTTGCGAGAGAATTGCCTCGTGCCTATTATATCGTTAGACCAGATATTCTCCACGTTCAATTATCCTCTACGAGGCTCTGAATCGACCAATGATTACGAAACTCGACTCTTTGTTCGTTACCACGCTTCTATACAGTAAATCGTAATCACGATGTTGAAAACTAGATGCACGTTTTCCCTCGAAGAGAATAAATAGCCTCGTGAATTTATTAAAATTTCGTTTCGCCATTTTTTTATTTATTATCAATTATCGAAGAAAATTGTATTACCTTGTGGATGTCTTACAACACAAAATGGCTGCCAAAAAATATCGTCAACATTGTTAAAATAATATATCAAGATTGGAAAAGTCATTAATTATCGTAGAATATCAGAAAGAATATAATACCTATATAATCCTAGAATATAATTTTTTTCTTCTGTAATTGTTCGAATAGCTTAAAACACTATATATGTACTCACTTCTCACCTCATTCTATAAATTTGGTTAAATTTTTCTTACCAAATTGAACCGCAAGAGAGCGTTACATGTGCTATCTTGACATACGTATACACTTATGTACGTACATATATATATATCTTCAATAATTCAAATATATAATTCTAATACGTTCAATCGAAAATTCAACGAATTTTTAAATCTTTATATCACATTTCTAAATAAAATGTCCAAATTACTATCATCAATTCGAGATACATATTCTCTAGAGATCATTCATTCGGATATCATTACGATGGAACAATCGTCTCATAAATAACGGAACATTCGAACAGATCGCATGAGTCAATCTGACCAACTCAACAACAGCTTCGAACCTAACCACAATGATCTCCACACCCTCACGGATGAACGCTCATTCACCCGTCGATCCCGAGCTTCTCTTACAATGCACGTGCACAGCCTCTAGCTCTGCTTCGTAGCTCTCAGCGGACGCAGTAACGACGGAAGAAGAAAAGAGGACGAAGGATAGAGCGAAGAATAAGAGAAGAACAGAACGAGTGTTTCTCGGGCAAATATAATATACGAGTACGCGAAGCCCCCAGGGAGTAACGTCCACTGTACCTTGGACCATAATCTTGGCTGGAAGATGGCACCACACCCATGGGGGGTCGCAGAATACGTCGTGGACTGTGCACGAACCACTTCCAACGAGCACTAGCCACCTTTCACTTCCATCTATTACTCTACGCGGGTAGATTCTCAATGCATAGTTTATTTCTCGATTTAAGAATCGTTGGAGATCGTTTCTGTCCAAGGAACTTGCTACCGTAAAATATTCGAGTGAAAAGATATAGGTTAGGTTAAATTAGATTTATGTCGCTTCGTTTTTGAAGTTTTAGATTTACATAATTATACGTATTCGAAATATTAAATACTATCCTAGAACTTGAGATTCTTTCAAATATAATTATTGATATCTCAATAATGCGTGTTTTCAATGGAAAAGAGAGTAGCCATCTTTCACTTGTATCGTTCTGTTTACAGATGGATCCTCGAAACATACGAGGCGCAGTATCTATTTCTCGATTTAAGAGGTCGCCTCTGTTCAAAGAGATATACTGTTGTAAAATATTCGAAGGAAATATTTTTAAAGTTAGAATTTTTTGATTTAAATGGTTGTGATTTTACTATTTGGATAATCTAAAATTCAAGAATATTAATCAAAAGTTATAAAAATTAAAAATTTTAATAATTTAAATATTTCTATTTCAGATAAATTTTTTAATTATATTATATGTTTGAATTTATCAGTCTTTTAAGATAAATCACTGTAAGATAATATACACGAGTGGAAACGGAGGAGTCGTTATGATGAATTCTACAGAACGTGTTACGATCTTGGCGAGAATGCGGCCAGGACACCGCGAAACGAGAACATTTATGACAATGCCGGGAATGAGATTCGTCTCGCTATTATGACACGGTCTAGGTTATCTCGGTCCACATATTATGCGCAAAGTACAATCTTTTCGAAATAGAGGGAAACTTAATCCAGTTTTCTTCTTTAAACATTTCATCCTTATAATACTTTTCATTGTTTAAATTATATATTTATCAATATCTAATTTGCATAATTAAATATTCCAAGTATAGTAAATATTATTTGCCACTTTTAAACTTCACTCGTGTGTTAATATTATGAAAATAACATAAAAACGCTCGATCTTCAAGCCAAATTTTTACTTCATTCCACTCTAACTTTCTAAATTTTTTTAAAATTCATGATCTATCGTAATCTAATTTATCAGAATCGTTCAAAAATCGTTCGAGGAGAGGCTCGAACGAAATTACAGACCTTCAATGGAGCCAATCTCGATCCCTGGCAGTTTGAAAAAATTAAAAAGCGTCCAGAGAAAAAGAAAAGAAGGATGTTCGTAAGCCACGAGGACTTAAGTGGGTTACCAAGCTTGTTATCGATACCCGAGGAGCTCGGCGTTCGATCGACTTTCAAGGGTGGTTCTCTTTGCAACGATACTGGTTCGACCGGATCGTAAGAAGGCTGAATGAAGAGGACCTCGAGGAAGAGTAGGGCTGAAAAACACGGAATACGGAGAAGATAGAGAAAAGGATAGAGAGAGAAAGAGATCTTTATATCCATGGTGTCCGCAGAACAATGTCCATTCACTCGAAATGGGATCCAGTCTGATCTCTGCTTCGAATATCCTCTCGATTAAAGGGGAATAGAAAGACGAAACACCTCGATTTCTCTTTGCTTCCTGAAGTTACGTTATTTAAAATTTTTATCTTCAAATTGAACTTATTGTCCATTGAAACCTTGTATGTATTCTTAAGTTATCACTGTCTATGTATTCACTTTGGAATTATTTTTTCAGCGAGTGAATATTGCCTGAAAACGAGAATTTCACGAGAATTATTTTGGATATATGGTTGCTGTAGATTTACAACTTGGAAGAGTTATTCTGAGAATAACAATTTAAAAGAGAGAGAGAGAGAGAGAGAGAGAGAGAGAGAGAGAGAGAGAGAGAGAGAGAGAGAGAGAGAGAGAGAGAGAGAGAGAGAGAGAGAGAGAGAGAGAG